TTTGACAAAAATAATAATTTATTAAATAAATATATAGAAATTTTTTTGTCTAAAACATACGAATGCCTTTGAATTTTATTTGTGATCAATCATAATTAATATAAAATAAATACAAGTAGCACTATTAATTAAATAACTATCCAAAATGTCGATCTATGGATCCCAAAATATGCGCCGAACAAATCAAAGTAATTATTAATTAATAAAAGAGTCAAATCCATTCTTGGATGCTGCATCCAGCAACCAATGCGGATAGCCACTTGAAAACTCAAAACCGTCCTGTGCTCTAAAACCTTCTTGCCAAATAAATGACCATACAATGCCACCAACCACTAATTACTAACGTTAAACCTCAACCTCATGCTGCAGCCAACCTCAAACCCTCTCCGAGAACACCTCGGCCACGGACATACAAAACATGGGTGGAAATACACCCCACCCCACATCCTGCTGAATCCGGCTGTATGATCTCTTAGAACAATGCCACCACAGCTACATCCATTAGCAGTCTGAGGCCACCATCACACGCACCCTGACCCTTCTACGGCATTAACGACCAAGCATCATGGAATTCCCTAACATACTAGTAATTATGCCTTTCTAATAATCGAATGAGACCTCTGCATCGTACCATTGAAGTCCCACTCATTTCTATCCTTTCAAATGCACCAACACAAAGCCGCAGCAAAAGCCTTCTAATGTGGCTATTCCTCCTATTACTGAGAGCACCAATCTGCCCACACAAGCCTAATCACCAATCCCTTCTATTTTACGATGACAAAACTAAACATCCTTGCCAACACTGAAGGAGGACACCTCCATAATGCATATTGCATCATGGACTACATTTTTGTCAACAATATTTCGAAGAACCGGGAACTATGGAGTAGTTGTCTCTTCAATCTCCCAAAATAATTTTTTCTTTTTTAATTTTTTGAGCAAATAGTGGATATATGGTTTTATTAAAATTTTGTTGAAGGGGAACAATACTTGTGGACCTCCAGCAGAATATAGGGAGATTGGTAATACCAGAACCAAAACGATTTAATCCAACATGAACAAACCAAAGGAAGTTAAGATATGTTGCAAATATGGCATTTGTTCTTCTTTTTTCTTTTTTTTTTTCCCTTACTTCTATTAAAATACTCTAATGGTTTATCACATTTCTTTTCTAGATCCTTTATACTCCAAAAATGTTTGTTTTTGTTCACCCCTGATTTTTCACACTTTTTATTTTTTATTTTATTTTATATATTATTATTATTTTTAAAACACTGAGATTCATGGAATTGTAATTCTGCTTGATGGATTTTTTTATGCAACATATGTGGCTTCACTGCATCAGTGAAATATAATCATTTTTCTGAACTAAAATACTGAGCTTGCTTTCTCGTGAGTATATATGTATAGATGTGAATGTTATATCCTCCGACCTCTATTTGATTCAATTTTGACATCCATATCTAATTACTATCCTTCGGTTTCAATGGCAAAAATTGTCGCAATAGCCAGTGTATTAGGAAGAAGGAAAAAAAGAAAAAAGAGAGGTAGGATCGATGGATTCATTAAGTTGCAAATTGCATTTGAAGATCGACAATCATATCAGACTAGTTCTGCGTACGTTCTTGTGATTATCCAAAGCGCCACGAGCCCTCAATCTCTCTGCATTAGTTTTGAATGAAGATCATCAAGGAATTGATATTCTGATCCAAGTGCCTTTTCCTGTATATGTAATCTTACTAGGTTTTTTGCACGACAGTGAAAATGCAGGTTCTTTTTGGCAATGACAAGAGTTAGAAGCCGAAGAGTACATTCTCTAGCGCGCTAATAGCCTAATCCATCTAGGGTGGGTGATTCATTCAGCATTTTCATTTTCCCGAATTTTATTCTTACCAACATCTGTGTTTGAAGCAAGCTGTTTAATTAGACAACGGATTACAAATGTCTCGGAAAAGCTCTATTGCAATTTCGTGAGGCAATCCACATTGTCATACTAATAGGAGGGGATCAAAATTGTGACTTAGGTGGTATGTTGTTTGGTCTCCTCTATGCCATTGTGAATTGTTGTAAGCAGTGTACTTCATCTTGTTTGCACACCTAAGTCACAATTTTGATCCCCTCCTATTAGTATGACAATGTGGTAGCACTGCACTTCTGATAGGGGACTAATGCAACTTTTGAGGATCCTAATTTTATATATCTATATATATATATATATAATGGGTAAGGAAATTCGTTTTTAGTTGTTAAAAAGATTGCTCTGAACATAATTTTTGAAAAATAAAAACGCTTTTAAGCAATTCCAAACGGGCTCAATTTGTGGATGGAGTTTTATGATATGGGCAATGCTGGTTTTCCTTGATATTAATACAATCTTCTGATGTGTTCATTTGGAAGTTGTTCTTTGAGAAGAAACCATTTTAAGTTCATTCATTGGAAATTATGAGCATATTTATTGGTTTGATGATGCACAAATGAATCTAAACCAAGCTCATTAACTTGGAACATGTATCTTATTAATTCATAGTACATTGTTGTGAATAACACACTTGGAAGGTTTATATAAAGACCACACCTTGAGCACTTCAAGCAATGAATCAGATCGAAACTAAGTTTTCTTAATTCAAAGATAGAGAAATTATCTTCATTTCCTTCTTTTACTTGTGCATTATGAAAAGATATTAGGTTTCACGCTGAATATAATAGTGTAGCGTGCAAATATACTGCAGCTTCATTGAGTTTAAGTTTTAATTGAATCAGTCTTGCATCTCGTTGGAGACTTTGACTAGTTAAATCATTTGTTGTTTTTTTTTTTTTTTAGTCATATTTGTAGGCCGGTGGAACCTATGCTATAACGATCCTGCAGTAATTTGTCAACGCATTAATTCTATTTTTAACACACTTATTTAGTTTTTTTAAATGATAAATTTTCTTAATGCTATATAAAATGAGGAAAAGTAAGAAAATAATTTGTCCTGTGCATAATTTGGTTTGAGTACAATCACATGACCAGGAATAGGTGGGTCTAATGGAGAAAGGGCATCATCATAATGCAAAACTGGTGAGGTACATACAAGACATCTAATCTTTAATGATTCAATTGTTGTATAGTCAACTTTCCATTTCTAAATTAGAACACACATTCATCAATGCATCCCATTTTATTTCCATCATCATTTAATTCTATTTTTTGAAGAGGACCCTCCTCACTGCACTTGAATTTTATTTTATTATTATTATTATTATTATTATTATTATTTTTGTGCAATGAGGATTCAAATTCATTATTAACCACAAGTTTAATTTTTCGGTACATTTAGGATTTAATTCCATTATTAACACATTTTTTTTCCCCGGATACGTTTGGGATTGAAAATTCGTTGTTAACATGAGTTGAAGAAACTTGATTAGTTATTTATTTCAGCTCGATTTGATAAAAATTTGATATTGTTTATTTGCTGAGTAAACGAATTGAACTCGAAACAATATTTTAAAATCAGTTAATTTAACGAGTTAAGTCGGAACAACCAAATGGGACACCAATTTTATTAGAGCTTAATATCAAGTTCAAATTTCAACTATACCGACATGGCTAACCTTTGAAGAGGTGAATCTGCTATGAATATCCTTTGGACAATGGGTTCCATTGACAATTGCATTACTCCTTAAGTACACTATACTGCTTTTGGGTGGGTATACAATGGATGATGCCCATAATATAAATGAAACCAGAAAGATAATATTATATTTTTACTCACACAATAACTGGTCTTTTCATCTTGTTGAGCTTACTCCTAGATAATTTTTCCGGTAATTGTATATGTCGGTGATGAATTATGGAGTTTATAAGAGATTCGCCTTAGAATGTTCTAGCATTTAATGTTGGCTTGCAATTTTTTTTAAAATTTCTATTTATAGTTACCTTAGAATTATTAAAGATGAGTTGCAAATAAACTATATTGTTATTATGATAAGAGTAATGATACTTGTACCGATTTGTTGCACCGAATGTTTTTGATTGGTTATTTATGCATCGTACATGTAGGTGTAGGGCCCTACTTCTTTATTTATGCATAAATGGACCAATTAAAATAAATAGGTTTGACAATTCATTATAACAAATCACATAACTTATATGTACTGTGTATAAATAATTAATCAGAAACATTTTGGTACAACAAATTGGTGCAAGTATCATTATTCTTGTGATGATAAAAAAAACAAACACAAAATAGAGATCAAACACATACACAACAAGAACACACATAATTTACTTATTTTATCCAAAATTTAGGATTACATTCAAGAGTTGTAGGAATTTCACTATAATAATAAAAAAATAATCACGGAGAGTTCAGGATGAATATATATAATCGTATTAGGGTAACATAATAAGTATAAAAATTATTAAAATACATTCCAAAAAATTCGGATAGTACCCATGTAACCCCTTCAAAGTTGAACTTCTCTCCACTTACAAAAACAAATAAATAAAAAAGAAAAAGCGTGGCACTTGCAAGTTGCATCCTTCATCCCTCCATTTTTCTCTTCATATCATTTATAGATCCTCTTTAACAATATGTCAATATACATTAAAAATGCATTAAAATAAAAATATATGTATTTATATTTGTTTTATTTTATTTTTAAATTTTAATTTTATATTACTGATTTACCCCACTAACTAAAATCTAAGATTGCTAGTTTTACAGCTGGTCTCACACACACATGTGATATATAGATATAGCATGAATAAATTACAGTTTTCAGATTCTACTGCACCTAGAGGAGTGCTTAAAGATAGTCCTCAGTCAACCACGAAAATCAAAAGTTTTTATACAAAGATCAAATCACACACTGGCATACCATAAGAACACACACAACAGAGAACTGATAAGACGCATCGCCCCACCATCATACTGACCCCACCCTCCAACCGTAGATTTCAATTCTTTGCTCCAAATCCCCTCCACGTCCTATCTACCCTTTTCTCCACATACACCCCCTTTCCTCACTATCTCACTAAAACACTCTCTAGAGAGAGAAAGTGCAGGGACAGAGAGGCCAAAAACATGTCTTCTCCCCAGCCTTGAGTGGCCATGTGTGTCTCCGCAACACATGCGAATCACGGTCCTCACAATGCCGCCGTTAACTCGCCGTTAAGACTGTCTCTTTCCCCTCTCCGCTGCCCCAATGTCTCTCTCTCCGGACCACTCCGCCGCCGCTATCTTGTGCTGCGCCGAGAACGCCGCCGACCTCTTCTCCTCCGACGCCGGCACGTCGATCTCCGATCTTGGCTCATCAGACCCTATTCACTCTCCACCGTCCGATGAATCCGCCGTCGATCGGCTCATCGGCCCCGAGACCCATCACATGCCCCACCCAGATCAGCTCCGCTCCATCGACCTTACCGCCCGCCAAGACTCCATCAACTGGATCCTAAAGGTCAGTATATATATATATATATATATATATATATATATATATAATACATTCATATATATATATATATATGTATCTATATGTTTGTCTGTTGTAATGATGATATCGAATGCAGGTTCATGCCCATTATCACTTTAGACCAGTAACGGCGTTCCTCTCCGTCAACTACTTCGATCGGTTTCTTTCATCTCATTCTCTTCCGGTACTCTCTCTCTCTATAAGTGTGTATATATAAGTGTGTGTTTGTAGAATTCCGGTGACGGAATCTGACCCACTGTTTGTTTGCTGGCAACAGGCAAGTGGGTGGCCATTTCAGCTACTGTCAGTGGCGTGTGTGTCTTTAGCAGCGAAAATGGAGGAATTGTACGTTCCATTGCTCATTGACCTCCAGGTGTCGGAACCCAGATTCGTATTCGAACCCCAAACGGTTCAGCGAATGGAGCTCCGAGTCATGGCGGGTCTCGGTTGGAGGTTACGCTCAGTCACTCCCTTTGACTACCTCGATTACTTCATCTCTTGCTCCGGGTCGGAACCCGAGGTGTTTGCCCGTTTACTATCAGCTTCTACGGATCTCATTCTCAAGACCATCCGTGGTACTTTAGACCCGAACCCAAGTCCAATTATGTTTTGCTTAGTTTTGTTTTGATTAATTCTAATTTTGTTTTGCCAATATTAATTATGGTGGCAGTGATCGATTTTTTGGGTTTCCGGCCGTCCACGATTGCAGCCGCCGCCGTGATTTGCGCCACAGGCAAAAGTTTGGATTTTTCGGAGCCCTTCTATGAGAGACTAAACAAAGTAATTTGGTGATTAATGAATATATATATATATATATATATATATATATATATATATATATATATATTTGTTGTTTAAAATATCCTTTTTATTATTAAAGTAATGGTATAAAAAAATTCTATTGGCTGTCTACTTATTAATCACTGGATTAATATATATATATATATATATATATATATATATATATATAGTGTAAAATAAAAATATAAAATTTAACCGTTTTTTATTATTATAAATGTATTAAAGTAATGCTATAATTTATTTATTTTTTTATTTCCTCTCTATTTTTAATCATGAGACATTTTTAACATCCTTAAAAGTCAAACAAGTCTTTTAATAGTATCTCAATCTAACAGTTAATAAAAGATGGTTCAAGATTCTTGTTATGGACTATTCTATTAACAACCTTACTCAATACAGTGATGCTGTTTGTTTGCAATCCCTTGTACTTCAAGTGAAAAAAATAAAAAATAAAAAATAAAATTACCGATATGTTATTCTTGTAAAAGATTATATTGAGACTCTAGACATTGTAATTTGTTATTTTAAGGAGGTGGTATTTATACTTGGACATTTTTAACTATTTGTATATGGTCACACGTTGTGAATGATGATGGTAAAGGCCAAAATTTTTAAATGGAATTAGCTACAATGATATTATTTTATCTAAGAAGAATTTTAAAAAAATGAAAAGCCAATAGGCCCAATATTATCTTTTTTTTTATTTATTAAGAAAAAAGTAAATTGAAAAATATTAGTTGAAGTATATTGTTGATATATATATATATATATTTAGTGAGAAATTGAAGCCTCGAGGGCTGTGTGAAAATATGGTGGTGATTTTTTTGATAATTTCTTGGGGACAGGAAATGGTGAGAAGCTGTCACCAACTAATGGAGGAGTATCTGATCGACACGTGTCCGTCCGCGACGCTTATTAAGGATCGCATAGTTGAGTCGTACGCGCCGCCTAGCCCCGCCGGAGTTTTGGATGCGGCGGCTTGTGGCAGCTGTGCCTCGGTCTCTGTTTCAGGCTCAGGATTGGGCTCGGGGTCTGGCTCGGCTTCTGGGTCTAGAGAGGATGAGCCGCCAAATAAGAGGTTACGATCTTCTGCAACGCATGTACAGCAAGACCAATAGTAGATAAGACCAACTCTACTTTTTTTGCTAGTTTTATATCAACGGGGAAGCAGAGTGGTTTAATTTTGTTGTCATTTTATTTGTCAGTCGATATTTATATGATGAACGGTCATGATTAGATAAGATTATGATTCTATGAGGATTTATTTTTTGGTTATTATATAAAAAATTTAAGTCATTATTGGTAATAATACTTCATAATTAATACTTTTATGCACACGTGCTCAAGACACAATAATTTTTATTCACACATTTTAAATACTTTTTGCAAGTGACCTGTTGTCCTGGTTGGGTTGTTCTCGTGTTTGGAAGCTCATTTTCGAACCTTGCACTCTCATTCTCTTCATACCTCTAACAATTAACCACTAATGATAAATACAATCAATCGTGAAATTTTCGGAACACTCAATTCAACGAATGAGGTCGTGACCTTATTTGAGATTACTTACATGAATATTATAAAATATTACGGTGCTAACTTTTTACCCTTACCAAATTGGGCTGGATACTCGTTTGGAGAGTCGGGTGTTCTACCAATTAAGTTATTAAATAATGTTCGGTTAGTGGTAACATTAGGAGCCTTTTTGCTATGTTTATGTGGAATTAAAATCTTCTTTCACAGTACCAAGCACCAACTAACTAGTCAGAAATTAAAAATTATTACATAGTTTTAGGATCATTAATTCCAAACCAATCACTAATTGACATGTATTCAAATAAATCAATTTGTATAAGTCTTATTCAACTTTCAATTAGTGATTGATCGGAACTATATAATAATTTCTTTCAACCCATGGTGTCTTTGAGACTATCTTACATACTAAAATAAGCATAAAAACGAAAAAAAAATAATAATTGTACTTTCGAGAATGGTCAATTGTTTTTTTTTTTTTTTTAAAAGTTGCAATAGGAGTCCAAAAGTATTTTCATACATGATGTGATATTGGTACTTCATTCTTTGCACACTTTAGCAGTTACCATTTATTTTAAATATATATAGTTCAATTATTGTTTTGGAAGAATAATTATATTATTATGTTCTAAGAAAAAAAATTACAAAAAAAATTTGGGTTAACCAAAAAAAAAAAAAAGAAATAAAGGAAGAGGGGTATGTAAATGAAATGCTGGACCATTATTACTGGCTGAGTTGCCTAAGTGGTGGTGGCTTTTTGGTCATCACACGACCATGTGGTCTTATTGCCCCTCAATTGTTGTCTCCCGAATGTCTTATGATGTTTCAATTATTCGAGAAAATTTCATGGCTTCAATCATTTATAGATAAATACTTTTTTTCTAAATTGACTAAAATAGCCTTAAGGTGTTGGACAACCTGTCTTTGCTATTGGCTTGTGTAATTCCGGGCGTTGTTGGAGGTGAGTTTTGTAACATCATATGGGATTGGGGCTTGGTCTCTGGGCAGCTGGTGTTAGGACCAGGTGTCGGACAAAAAGTACCATTACGGGGCCCACTTTGTGGGTGTCGCTTTTTGGACGCTATTGCTATACAAACTGTTTGACAATTGACATTGCCAAATGGGATCAATGAGGATGACAACTCAGATTCACGAAAGTACAAAATTACCCTTTTGTATCTTAACGGGTGCTGCGCCTACTTTACGCTTTCGAATTTATTGTGATTTAAATTTTAAATTTAATATAATTCAAACACGTCAATAATTAATATCATATTTGTATTTTAACTGATTTTAAATTAGAATTATTTACATAGCTCAAACATTTTGATATATCATATTTGTATTTTAACTGTTTCTAAATTTGGTTAAATAATATAGATTATACTTTCTTACCTTGTTGAGAGAAAGCTGCAATAAAGTGAAAATTTCAAATCCTTCTTTTCGACGATAGTGTGAGATTTTTTTTTTCTTCAAGAACGAGAAGATTGAATTTAGTGATGAGAAAAATGTTTGGTATAATTAAATAACTCACCTCTATAGATCGTTATTTTAACGGATCATAAAATTGAAACATCTGCATGAGTGACCTAGTGGAGAAAGACTTTCTTAGTGTGAATCCTTAATTTAAACATTTTAATTCTCACAAGGTACAAAAATATATATATATATATATAGAACTTAAATTATACTATATGTCTTTAAAGTGGTTAATGGTTGTATTGATTTTCAATGTACTCTGTATATATATATGTACACTCACTATTATTGGATTTTGGATTTAAAGTGGATTGGCAAATTCCATCCCCGCCAGGACCCCTCCTTGTTTATAACGAGAATGAAAATCCTTTTAACTAAACGGGGACTGAGATGGGAGCCAATTATGAATCCCTGCCGGGGGCGGGGGCGGGGGCAAGGGCGGGGATGGGATAAATCCCCTCGATTAAGTGTGAAGTTACTAATATATCTTTACATATAATAATTTATTAATAAATTAGATTTATTATATATATGAAAATAAGAAAAAATATGTTTTTTTTTAATAAAAAAAATTATGAGGCCGAGATCGGGGCCGGGGGCGGGGTGGGACAGGGCGGGGACGGGGATAAGGTGTCGGGGGCGAAGGTAGGTATGAGAATTCTAACAAAATTTTAAACAAGAACGGAACTGGGATGGGGATAAAAAATGCATCTGGGTGAGAATGGGAATGAAATCCCGCCCTATCCTGTTGCCATCCCTAAAAGTGAAGGATAAAACCGTAAATATCCACATGATATGTTTGCATGTGTGGATTGCCCAAAGATTTTGGACGTGACAGGTGAGACCGTGGGTGGGGTCCACATTTTTTAAACATTAAGGAACGCATCGTATGACGCTGCCATGACATGGGGATGCCACGTATAGGCGGTGAAAAGGGGAAGATCGCGGGAAAGGATCTAAGCGGTGGGGGTTGGAGTTGTGGGAGACAGCTAGGGGAGTTAATCCTGGCCGTCCAGCTGTAAAGACACACTGATGGAGAGTTTTGACTGGTGGACACCTCTGTGTTGGGGTGTGTCATATCATGCAAAGGACTGTACGGGAACAAAATGGTAGTGTGAGTGCAACAAACAAACATATAGTAATATACAAATAAAATAAAAGTGGCTTTTTATTTTTGTTTTTTTATTTATTTATTTTTATTTTTTAATTATAAACGGTCGAATTAACACATTGAAATTGTAAGTAAAAAAACAAATTATCCCTCCCGTTGTATTTTAATTGTTTCTTTTTAAAATTCTATTTTTTTAAAATAATAATTTTATATTATATTAAAAGTGTGATGATTAACATTTTATAAAATCAATTATAAATAGCAAGGTGAACATTCACTTGCTCAACGCTTACCGGACATAACTTCCATTTGATTAAGTGATAGGAATAATAAAAATAATGAACAGTGACAGATCCAAGATTTTTTTAATAATTTTTTTGACACATGCCGAATTGCATCCAACATAATATGTGTCAGTGTGAGACTGAGATTCTTTGACATTTTAATCGTATTCATGCTTCTTAAATTATCAGTAATAAAAAATAAAGAAATAATAAAACTGATTTACTGTACTTTTTTTAGAATTATTAATATGCAGCGAGTAATTTAAAAAATTGAGTAGGAATATGAGAGTGTGTGAGAGAATTGATGATGCCATAAAAAATGAAAAGAGAGATGATTATCGTTTGGATCCAAAAAAAAATTAGTGAGGTAAAAATGTGAAATGGGTCATTTTAAAAGATTGAGTGGGGGTATTTTTAAAATTTTAACTAAAATTTTAGGTAATAATATATATTGAAAAAAAATCAGTGAAGAAATCAGTGAGGTAAATATATAAAAGGAGACATTTAAATTTTTTTTCTTCTTTTTAGTTGGTACTCAGACACACATGTTTATTCTGAGACTTAAATCCTGATCTTTATTTGGGATATAAGAAACTGATACCATTAGGTCACTAACTTGTTTGTGACATTTTAAAAAATTGAGTGGGAGTATTTTTAAAATTTTAACTAAAATTTTAGGTAATAATATAAATTGGAAAAAATTCAGTGAATAAATCAGTGAGGTAAATATATAAAAGGAGATATTTTAAAAAATTGAGTGGGGATATTTTTAAAATTTTAATTAAAATTTTAAGTAATAATATAAATTAAAGATAAAAATTCCAGTGGGCCTCCTGAACTGGGTACGAGCCGAAACAAGGTGTGAGTTCTCGTTTTTAAAGTAGAGATTGACTGTGAGTGTTCATTTGTGACACCCAATTCCTTCATGGCCAAGTGTCATCTACCTGTCTTCTAATCATACAATGATTGGGTCCCACCACATGCTTCGATCAGTGTCATTTTTGGGTATATTTGGTTTATTTTGTTACTCCTATATTTGATGCACATGCTTAGTCTAACTTACCTAGTAATATAAAAAATTATTCATGGCAATTTGTTGTAATGGTGACTTGCTGCAACAGTCGCTATAAATATTTTTTCAAAATAAAACGAATTTTTAATAAATTAAAAAAAATTGATATATATATATTTTAGTAGAATATCTGTAACTGTTCGTTACATCACGTTACCGTTACAACGATTGCAATGTATAATTTTTCATAATGCAGGTCAGTGTTCATTCTGGTGGTTCAGACTTCAAAGGCAAGTAATTGGATTCAACATTTTATATCTAATACTTTCTATTCTATGGGAGACATGAGTATGTACTAAGTATAACCTTATATCCAACATTTCATTTTTGTCCCCAGAAGTATAGTGACGTTAACAGGGATCTGGAAGATAAATTTTTGAATTTTTGCTTTCGAATCGTACTTCTGACTTGAATGATGTATATATTGTGGAGTCAATACACGTGCGCGTGTGTTGCAAGTCCATTTTATTAAATCTAGTGTTTATCATTTTTTAAAAAATTTGATTATAAGATTGAATTTCTTGCCAAGACTTACTAACTTACCAGCAATAGAAATATGAATGAGTTCACATAGCAAAAACTAATTAAAGTTTGTTTGATGTTGAAGTTGATCTTGACCTCTCATAATTAAAATATTAATCAACGTAACCAAATAAGGTGGAACAAGAAAGTGGAAGAAGATTCAGTGGGCCCCAAGGAAAGATTAACTACAGGAGTTGGAATACATGTTTTGTCAAAGAGCAAAAGTCGTTTTGCTTTCGTGTAGAGTTTAGTCTCAAAATTGTGTGTATTTGAGATATGGTGTATGTTCACATCCCACATTTGAATTGAAT